GGGGCGGGGGGTGGGGCCAGGTGGAGGACGGAGCCCGGGGGGCCTGGGCGGGGGCCGGGCTGGCGGGGGTGGGGCCTGCATTTAGGTGGGGCGGGGGGGGCCCCGGCCGGAGGGAGGGCGGCGCGGAGGCACGGTGGGCGCGGGACGATGGGGGCGCTTGAGGCGTGTAGGGCGGGCTGCCCGCCAGGCATGGCCTGCCGCCCTGTGTGGGGGTCCGGCGTGTTGGGGATGGCCGGGGGCGCGGGCCGGCAGCGCGGCGCGGGCGCCGCGGAGGGGGGGCGGCAGAGGGGGGGGCTGTGGTGGCTTTGCGCGTCGGGCGGGGGCCGGCACATGGGGGGCCGCACTGGCGGCGCGGACGGCGGGGGTCATGGGGTTGGGCCGCGGCGCCGGAGGGGGGGCGCCGGGGCCCCCCCACACACTCCAGAGCCCCGCGGGGGGGGGGACGGGGCACGGGGCTAGGGGGGAGGGCGGGCGGGCGGGAGGCGGGGGGGGGGGCGGAGGGGTGGGATGGCTCCACCCGGGCGTGTCCGCTCGGGGTGGGCCGCCGGAGCGCCTCGGGGGGGAGGGGGGGGGTTGGCGGGGCGAAGGCGAGGGGCGCCGACGGCACTGCCACGCCGGGGGAGGGATGGCGCCGCCGGGGCGGCTATGGGCGGAAGCTGAGTGCGCGGGGGATGGGCTCGGACCACGGGGGGGCAGCCGGAGAAAGGGCGGGCGGAGGGACTCGTGATGAGGGGGGGGGGCCGTGGGGCGGCCGGGGGGGGGCGGCAGCCCGCCTGGCCGGGCTGGGGGGCGGCGGGGGCGGGCGGGGGGGCGCGGCGCCTAGGCGGGGGCGGGGGCAGCTTGCGCGTAGGGGACTAAGGGTGGGGTGCGGGGGCTGCGGGGTCCCCGCCAGCACGAGCGTGGGCTTGCCGGGGCGCACCACCACGTGCGGTCCGGGGCCTTAAGCGGGGGGGGCAGGCGCTGCGAGGTGGGGGCCGGGGCTGGGGTATAGGAGCACTGCCGGGGGCAACGGCAGGGCCGGGCGCCTGAGGGGGCGGAGCGGGCGGGAGGGGGGGGACGGGGGGCTGGGCAGGGACAGGTCGCCACATCGATGGGGGGGGATAGGGGTCAGATGGCCGGGGGGGGGGGGGGGGGAGTTAATGAAACATGGCCACCGTCCATATGCCTCCCCATCATAATCCTTCGGGTTTCCGTTGAATATGCTGTGTGGATGGAGTTGTGGGTGTACAGCGGAAGCCACCCATGGTCCCTTAGTAGGTTCAGGCGTCATTTGACCGTCTACCATGTAGTCCACAGTGGCATGCAGTTCAGGAACTGGATGTCATTAAACATACTGGTGTTATAAATACATCACGCGGATACTGGAAAATGATACTCTAGTAATCGAACGATAGACATACAATCTCTTTTGGGACTAGGGCTTAGGTTGTGGCAAATCTCTGCCATTTTCAAAAACTGCAACCGCATCCGATGTGAAGAGTTTTGGAGCTGATCTCTCCCAACATCGCACTCTATGACTGGGTTCGTCCGGACTCGGACCCTTCAGGTAGTATCTAGCGTGAGCTGAGAGTGGAAACAGACACATACTATACGCTTAGTATACGTACAATCAATTCACACTGTTGTATAGAAGCAGCGCATTTAAGACAATGGGTGCTTAAACCAATGACGCACATCCTTCGATTCTATTTTTAGCCCTAATTTTCCCACGGGACTTGCTATGCACCACATCTCTTACCGTGACAAATCCTTATTCACTGTCTGAAGCAAATAATCAGATCGCAACTTTTAGTGCTTCGCCACTGGAATAGGACAACAGCGATCCGAAACTTCAGCAACCCCGTCTGAGCTCCGTCAAAGTGTAAAGTCAGTACTGCAACCCCCACGGCATCTGTGTCACTTTGACACATGCTAACCCTCTAAGCGGCCAAATCACATTCTACTTGACTGGGGTAAACCCATTCATGAAGCCACACTTAACGATTCAGTTCTGACACCGGCAACTCAACGCTCGGAGACAATCCATTGGCATAACTGCTAATAATCCCAAGTAATAGATCATGTGCCGAGTTGTGTTCAGCAGGAAATTGCCCAGAATCCCTGCCCCATCGACTTCTGTGCTCGCATAGACCATCAGCTTCCTCGACCTAGTGGTCTCAGGTCATCGGATAAAACTAGGCCCGGCGTACAAGGTTATGTTACGTCACGCTAATCTCCGCTTCAATCGGATTGCTGAGACTGTCAAGTATATGCCAGACGAAGCCAGCCCTTTGCGTTCAGAAACAATTACTTGCCAACTTAAGGGTTCCTTGGTCTTGTGGTGTTAACTTCACCATCCACCCCCAACTCAAGCTAGTCTGGTCGCAACCACTGTTAGCTATCTTTATGTATATCACTTATTGTTAATGGTACTGAGGAGACGATGGGAAATACATGCATTTAGCAGCTTTCGTCCATCTCCGCACTTTCAAATTTTTGGTGGGAACTAACTATTTTAATTAGCTGATTCCATCAGAACATTTAGATGTGCTGTGGATCCATTGTTGAAACGATGGGTCCAGACGGCCACTACGTTATCAGCAGTTTGGTAAACAACTATCTTTCTTTTGGACGAACTCTGCACAGAGTGTAGTGGAAGCACTCACCTGAGTTCTTTGTTTTAAAAACATGCATCCAATTAGTACCTGGCAGTCTTCAAGTCACTTGTAGATGGGCGTGAGCCTGAGCAATGTCACGTTGGTGGAGCTTTTGAATGAGGTTGTGGCGTCAGGTCGTTCGCTTCTGCACTTCAGAAGAAACACCACCACTCCCTTCTTTCGGGACATTTATCCTATTGTTGGTCTTTATCTGTGGACATTGTGTAGAAAAATTGACAAAACAGCATTCTCCATTACACTGAGGTTGTTGACCTTGTCTTTTATTCCATGATATAGTATGTTCTTAGTTACTCGATGCGCTGACTTGTTAAAGTCTCGCGACCTTCAATAGACAGATAGTATATTTTTCTCCTTTGTCAACAAAGGTCTTCTTTGCGTTCCCATTCCCTTTGTCAACAAATTCACACAACCGAGCGTGGCAATGGATACACCTTTTCCGTACAGTTCCTCATTGATTCGTAACTTGTCTTACCACCCCAAGTATTCAAGTGTAACGGAAATCGCGCATGGTTTCCGATCTGGTTAAACAAAACTTTTACTGGAAATCAATAAACTGAAAAGTAAAACATGGCGGCGACGTTGCAAATAAATAATTGGACCCAACTTCAAAACTAACTAAAATTACCTTTATTGACTATATTTGTTCAACTTGTTGTATACTGCGTACAGTCAAACCAGTCCTAGAACATAGTCGGGATAAAAATAAGACGCCAGTTAATGTAGGTGGGTAAATTTGATTGGGTTCTCTCAACCTCACCACAGGTTTTTATGTTAACAAATATAAGTCCACCTAGTCAGAAGCCTAGCTTTCAGACTCGTTTGCTGGATAGTGGAGTGTAAATGGCGCTATCAGCTGTTAAAACACTTTTTTAACAGCTAATTTTAGGGCAGAAATAAAGCACGAAGAGAAGGTGTTTCTAGACCATCACACTTGGAGCGAGGAGAATTTACGGACGCGCTCATGCCAACTCTACTGCGCTGCAATCTTTAGATCATTCGATTGAGTTTCAGAAGCAGGAAGCAAGCGTTTACTTGGAATTATCCGGATTTGGTAAGATATAAGGTCGCTTCGAAGACACTGATACCGAGCGCTATAAATTGCAATGGATTTTAAGCCAAGCACGTTAAGCAGATAACCATATTCTCTCACATAATTACCTACCCTTCAATACGAATTCGCAAGAGCAGTGTGACCTTGTTTCTGTCACGGATGCCACAACTAGTTGGCGAATTCCACATCGGGTAGTACATTATTGCTCAAACAGGGCAATCACTCTGCGTTGCAGGCGGACATGTTGGTTACAGATTTTTGGCCCTTCCTAGGTGTTTTCGAAAACTGGAGATCATCCTGAAGCAAGATGTCGAGGTACTGCACTTGCAAAGCATATTGCAAAGATGTAGTCACCAGGTTTGTCTGCGTTTTCTGAATGACAACGTATATGAACAACCTAACAACTTACCGCTCTAAAACATAGTGGATTCCTCGTTGACCGTTCGTGAACACCATCCAAGACATGTTGGAAAAAATCGTCATCCTCATTGCCATTAATCGCTTGCAGTATTTTGAATTAATTAGCGAAAGACAGGAGGTTCGAAGTTCTGACGCTTGCTAGGTGATTGATGAAAACTAGGTATAATCGAAGCACCAGCGATGGACAATACATAACAGGAATTGATCCCCGAACACACATTTCCAGCCTCCGTTGGATATGCGGAAGAAAAGTGGTAGGTCTGAGTGTTCAAGTGGTGCTCAGAAGTTTGTTGCTAGTTTCCCGAATAGCAGATTTTCCGACTGCGCTACTTTGCAGGCTAAGAAACGGGATACATTGATCCAGGTAATAGAGGGCATTGTAAAAGTCCCGGTAGGCTACAACGGTCCCGGCCCGGTTATCGACCGTCTTCGCCCAACTACTCTTACCATCACTAGATTGATAGTGCAGTTGACAGAAGCCATGACTCTACTTTTCCAAGTACTTCACTAAGGCTTCGGCGAAAGCTACTTCCAACACCTTCGATAGCACAGTGAGGAGAGTCACTGAATGGTAGTTACCAGTATCATCAACGCTGCGGTCTTTATATTTGGTCTAAAAATATCTCCACATAGTCGGGACTGCAGGAAAGAAGCAGGAGTTCCTAACTGGAGGGTCAAGTTTGGATTACACGTTGTGTGATTGGATTGCGACACGCAACCTCAATTTTAATCTATTGTGATTCACATTGAAATGAACCGTGAATGTGAATCACAGTCTATTAAAATTGAGGTTGCGTGTCGCAATCCAATCACACAACGTGTAATCCAAACTTGACCCTCCATATTAGTCATCTACCGTTGTGACAAAAAGCATTGCCCATCGTGACCGGGTAGCCAAAGGGGTGTAGTGTTGGCTGCTATTCCAATGGTCCTGGGTTCACCTGATGAGATGAAAATTACATCGAAACGCGTCGTGGTTGTGCAGTGTTTTCGGGTGGGCAATACCCAATTTCCATCTAAGCAGGAGTTCCATTATCATTGAGTGACATCCTTGTAATTAAGTGACCAAGGTAACCCTGAGGTTTTTGAGGTACGAGGTTTTCAAATAACAGAGTCTAGCAGATGTAGCCCTACTGTCTCTAGCCGTCGGTCATTCTTATGCATTTTTCAGATCCTCCAGCCTACGGCGCACCGCGAACTAGAATTCTTCTGGTTATTGATTCATATTGTTCTTCGTCTGTTTACGCTGGCTATATTAAACATACTTGAAAACACAAGCCGAACAAAGCTTATTTCACAGACTATCTGTAGATGTCACAGAAGTGTCGGTTCGTCATAGTGTGTTGAGTTTGCGTGACGCGTCACACGTACCATATTGGCGGGCTTAGCTACTACATCCAGTATGTCACATATGGAGTTGCACCAGCTCACGCCGTCATATTGCTTTTCCTTTTAAAGAGTTTAACGTCGATTCTGGAGCATTAGTGCAGTTTACCGACTGTATGCTATGTGGTCTCATTTTAACCCTTGGTGCAGCATATTCTACGCTGGTTTGCATACGAGTGATAACTACTGTATACGTTGAACGTCACATCCCTATTTGATTTTACACCCGGTGGGAATAACTGGAAACCCAAATTCTCTTCTGTCATTGGCAACCACTCTTTCCAACGTGCTTCTGAACTTGTTAGGCGAGCTAAAGCATAGGCGAAGCTATGGTTGCACTTGATCCATTCAAACTAGTGGTAGTCGCTTCAAGCGTAGCTGGGACATTGGGGACAATAACACATTGACTGGAGCTCAAGTTAGCCCATTTTAACGGGCTGCCTAGCCTTTCTCTTCAGGTTTGAAGCGTAGTCTAATAGAATGGACTGGAGCCTGCCCTGCACCATGCTTTATCCTTACGAAGCGATTCTGGCGTTTGCTGTTTTCTCCGTCTTTGTTTCCAGTCTTGCGCACTTCTGCGATAAATGATGGACGACGTTGATCAATGAGCTAACCATACATACTGCGCACAACCAGGGAGAACATGGCCTTTTGTTATGCACCTTTATCTCAACAGGTTGGAGTTAATCAAACTTGGTATGGGGACAATTTAAATAATTGGAACATGTTTGGGGGGTTATTTGAACTACTTATTGTGTGATTGGATTGTGACACGTAAGTTCAATGTGGACTATAATTCGCACTGAGGCGAACCTTAGCCAATTCGATCACTAGAACCGTAGCTAAAGCGAATGGAAACATGTAATAACTTTTTCTACCTTTCGTCCAAAGGAAATGGAAACACAGTCTTTTGTTTTGGTAATGTTAGACACGGTCTTTTTGGTAGATCGCTGCAAGCAATCTTGCAGGCGTGTCCTTGTCTGCTAGTACCTGAGTGTATTAGGTCAGCAGCAAAGGGCTCACGGTTAGGGCGTATGGCTGTCCGTCTCACCGTCTGCACGACGATCCGGTCAGTTCTGATGTCGACACATTTTATTGCACAGCTCAATGAGTCACCGGACCTTGTGGCACTGCGAACTGACTGTGTACAATGCCCAAAGGCCACTTTGAGGTGGACAAAGCGGCCGAAGGAAAACAGTGCCAAGTGTCCGGTAGCTCCTTTACTTGACAACCGATAACTATGGTTGTGGCCCCTTTAGACTGGTATCAAATATGACTTGTTTGAGATCACAGATTTTCTTGTACCGCTTGGGGGTTGAAAGTTGTGTGTATGTGTTCCCGCGAGATAGGAGCAAAAGTTGTGTTGTGAAGGGAGAGGATGACTTGCCTGGCTTAGGTACCGAAAGCTGAGCCCTGTAAATAGTACTCCGCTGACTGACCCTATGCAGCGTAGGTACACATGTGTGCAATCAGTAAAACATGCAAACTTAGAGGGCAGGAAACATGCGACGGCACGGTGCAACTTTCAACGAATAAAAAACTCCACAACGAAAAACGGTGTAGCAATGAATTTATCACTGGCAAAAGATCCAACGCTTACCCTTTTCCGTAGATAAAAAGAGTTCCAAATGAAGTGTGTCATGAAAAGTAGCGCGGAATGAAGATTGATGATGCAATTGTTACGTGCATATACAGCTTGCATACATTGTACCAACGTCCCAATAACTTAGGTTAAATCTTGTAATGTAGATAGTGTAATACATCATGGAGTCAGGTATAATTTCCGCTAGCGTTGGAGTGGAGCAAACTGATTGGAACAAATGAATGGAAAAGGGTTCCGGTGGCATTCCAACAGGTAATACTGGGTGGTTAATTTCAGGCACTAACCTCCGCTTGAGGTATCACGGCTGAATTACGATAAATACTGGCATTGGCGGTTAGGATCCTTGAAGATTTGGTGCACCAATAGGAGATCAGCTCTTAGGCCAAGATATTGTTTAGTGCAAACTTCTTGAGTACTTAGTCAAAATTGGTAAGAGAGTTGAAGCAATAGCTTACAAATTTTAGTTACCCTTACCCGTAAATTCTCAAGAGCAGCAACATCATGTTTTTACTAAGGTTGCTGCACATGTCGCCTCACGTAGGCGTTGATTAGTTACCAAACGAATGTTGGGTCAAACCGTTCAAAAGCCATCCGCAGTAGGCTCAGTTTTAACTAGCTTTTTTCACTGGTTTCTTGATTTGTCTTCACCATCCAAGATTATCCTGCACGAACATCAGACAATTAATTTCATGGGAAGCGCGCCGCAAAACGCGTTCCCCTAGTCCACATTCACATGTGCCCTGGGGTGTGCTGATAAGATTACATCTGCCAGCTTTAAACTCAGGTATATTCTGAGCCGACTACTCGTGAGCTCTGCTGAGATCACCTTGAAGTAATATATGGTCATCTACTTTCCTGTGTACCTGCCAAATGTTGGGTGTACGCAACGAATATAAAGTTTGACGCCAGCACTACTGCGAGATTTTATAGAAATACCATCCACCATACTAACCAAGACTGAAGTCATTAAGAAGGTACAACAGTTGGTATCAGCGCCT